ACAGTCTATGCAATAGAATGCCAAGGATGTGGGCATAAGTATGTTGGAGAAACAAGAAGACCTCTTCCACAAACGACTTGATGAACATCGGAGGGCTCTACAAAATCCGGCCTCATATCCAGGTAACAGCTTCTCCAAACATAGAACCCAACAACATGCCCATGGGGATCCACCCACCCTCAACGTAAAAGTCCTACACCGTTCCGTTGAAACACAGTGGAACGCAAAATACTGGAGGCTCTGGAAATAAAGACTAGCCCCGGAAATAAATAGCAGAGACGAGTTACGTGACTCTCTTCAACTCATCGCATGACTGCAGTTATCATCACTGTGGAATGAATGCGATATTTTGGGAAATAACGGTCGTAGCACGTCAACGCTATTTAAGGGTAAGTCTAGGGTAGGGAGTAGTTCCTGTCGTTGTTATGTTGAGGTAGGTGAGGACAGTGAGTGAGCGATAGCGGATGAGATCGAGTTATACGATACACTTTTGAGAGCGAGACAGCAGGTGGGTCAGTTAATATATTTTAATATATTAACAGACTTTAAGAAAGCTTATAATTTTCATTTCAGGCTCGACAAAGGCGCTAAGCGCCGAAAGCTCGCCAAAAAAGGCCTAAACTTTTGCAAAACTTTTGCAAACACACATTTTGCAATTTCTTTTGTATAAAGTTTTGAGTCTTTTGCAATAAATTTTGGAAGTCTCACATTGTTTTATACACATTACGGTTTACTGTTATACCGATATTTCCACTTCTTATCTGAGGGCGACGAAAGCAATGCCGGGCGCTATCGCAAGGTGCGGTGGCACAGTGTTAGCTGCATTTCGAACCGCGTAAGGCGTATGTCATAGTTTGCGAATCGAGCGATTCGCTAGATCCGAGCGTTGCGCCAGCGAATCGAACGTTGCACCAGCGAATCGAACTTTGCGCCAGCGAGTCGAACGATGTACCAGCGAGTCGAACTAGGTACCAGCGACTCAATAGTGGCGGGACCCAACGTTCAAAGGAAGCCGCCACTTTCCAAACAAGGAAAAGGCAGGCTTCCTTGAACGTTGGGTCCCGCCACTATTGAGTCGCTGGTACATCGTTCGACTCGCTGGTGCATCGGTCGATTCGCTGGTGCAACGCTTGGATCCAGCGATTCGCTAGCAAATCCTTCGATTTCCTTCCGAGCTTCCCTTGAACGTTGAGTCCTGCCACTATTGAGTCGCTGGTACCTAATTCGACTCCCTGATGCAACGTTCGATTCGCTGGCGTAACGCTCGAGTCGCAAACTATTGCATCGACCTAAGGCCTTGTGAGACTTTGCGAAAGAGCGATTCGCTAGCGTCCGCGGTCGCGTCGCTGGCAGCGAAGTGCTCGGCTACTTGCTAATGCAACGCGACCGCAGACGCTGCGAACCGCTAGTGGTGAATCGTTTGATTACCAAAGTCTGACGTCGGTCTAAAATCTCCTTTCTTGTCAAAACAGGCTAAGCTTCCTGCAGGGAGGAGAGGCTTCACCGTGTGTGAGAAATTTATTTCGGCGCTTATGTCGTTAGGGGGGTCACCGGTGTAAAAGGGTAAAAGGATAAAGCATTTGCCGTTGATCAATCCCTTTTTGGGATGCGGCACGCATTCTACTTCCATTTGTACATTCGTAGTGGCGTTTGAATGCGATGTGGCCTATACAATGACTTGCGGGGGCCAGCCGATGTACAAGTCAGTGTTTTTATCCTCCCAGACAAGTCTGGTACCAATTAACCGACCCCGGAGGGATGGAAGGCTTGGTTGGCCCGGAGGACTGGAAATCTGGTTGGCCCGAGGCGACTCGCTACCCAGGATTCGATCCCTGGGCCGCTTGCGTGGTGAGCGTGCCACTTACCACTACTACACTTCCACCCACGCAGGTATAGGGAATCTGGAAACCGCTGGTAGGTGACACTAGAATTGAGCGCAGGAGAGAGGGCACAAACGACAGGTGGGAACAAATTACTCACCTCCGTCCTCAGGATCCCTTCCCTTATGATTCAGCTCCAAGTGCAGCAATTGGCTCAGTCAGTTGAATGTCCCTTCAACGTTCGGACGTTTGATATTCATCGCGGCACTCACTTATCTTTGGTCATATCTATAACGGGAGAACATGTATTTGCCATTCTCTGCCGCCGTCTCTCCTCGGCTCTCTGCTAGTTATGCGACTAATGCTCACGCAGCTTTTTTGGTTGCCCTGAAGAGATGGCTCATAGCCGGCGGGCGTCCCTCCGCCCATTGCCCCATCGTAGGAAAGATGCAAGGAAATTCTCTTCCTAAACCCTTTACCTGGTTTGTCACTTCCCTCTCTTCACCACTGCTTCGCATCATGGTCGCCTTAAGTCTTGAGGCCTACAGCTCTCAGATGACCTGGCGATAGTGCGCCTTATTAGTCAGACTCAACTCTCTCTTGAGATGGCTACTATACCAGATACCTTCCCAACGCCGTCAGATTTATTGGGTACCATGAAGCATTCGTTTCCATTTTGTCAGTCACAGAGGAATTATCGATGTCAATTCGCTTTTGTTTCCGACTCAATTGATAAATTTGGTTTATTTACAAGAAATTTTACCACCACGTTATAATTTCGTACTTTCTATCGATTATAATTCCATGAACGTCGCTTAGATGTTGTAGTGAGGATTTTTTCTCGACAGAGAGAATTAAAAGACATACATCAAACACGGTGCTTGAAAGAGAACTGATTACACAGCACGCCGCGATATGCACTGATTCGTACTATTGAAGAGAACAAGCGCCACTTAAGAGTTCTATCTTCTTCGTGCAACACAACTACTGCAGAATATATGCATATGGGACCTCGACGGAATAATTATCCGATAAGCACATATGACCGAATAGCTCAAAGAGTAAGAAATATGCTTAAGGGGATTTTTCGTGAATAGTAGCCCTCTTTCACAAAATCTGTGACCTATGATTGACATCGAGCATAATGCAGTTAGATAAAGCTAGTTCTCGTTAGGCTCTAGCGACAGAAATGCTCTCAATTAGATCAGGTTTTCCTCCTGATATCTCGTCTGCGGACTCTCTTCTCACGCATTTTCGCGACATGTTTTTGACTGTCTTTTTCACTATGTGATTTGCAGCAGATATTAACTTCGGGATAGCAGCTCAATTTAAGGTTGCATGCGACTCATATTGATAGTAGTTCTGGTGGTAGCACGGGGTATTCTTGCACACTCTCTTTTTGGTCATGGGAAATTTCTCTCTATAACGCAATCTCGAGCTTGGGTGTCAGTGGTTGAAATGCGTTGTTCCTCTTTGGTGTGGTGTGCAGGACTGTGATGATTAACCAGTAGAATTAACTTTACTGAATTTAATTTAAGACAAAATACCTATAGGTTTCTAAGAATGTGATCTCAAGGCCATTCTTTGGGTGTCTTTTACTGAGACATGAGGTATTCTGTAGAGTACGGTTATCATCTCTGGCGCTAGTGTGGACACTGTCATATAGTGTATATACTGTCGCTGCTTGCCAGGTCTGCACTCGATCCTAGAATGAATCTCGATTTAGACTGCTGGCCTCCTCATGCAACCATAACTTTTTATCAGAGAGCTTTAGGACAGGTATAGCCAGGTTGAAAGCGGTTTCTAGACTACTATGCGGTATGTTGGAGGCGGGGAGGGAAATGAAACACTCGTGGGGAAAACTACGGATGCTCCCAGCAATCTGAGAACAGTTCTCTGTGAGGAAATGTCTTTAATTCCATAAACCTACACACTCCATGATTATATGCAATCAGATTTCGGTCAAAATTGAAGGTGGCATATGTAGTTGCTCTTTTTGGAGGCGGGCGGTATCACCATAAAGGGCAGGGAGTAGGCGCTCAACATACGCTGTGCATGACGATACCGTGGCGCTTGACTAGCGATCGTTGCGGACCGCGCGCGCTGTATGAGGTTCGATTCTGTTGGCGCAATAACGCCGAGATTAGTAATAGCACGTACAGGCCTTCCATATTATATTCGCTTGTGGTTGAAGCGCTTCAATTTTTATTTAACTAGTTATGTATTTGCAAGCATGCAGCTATTTGCCAGCAGTTGCAATTAAAGCGCATGTACTACGGGCAGGTTCGGACAACTCGTCCAACACACGTCTCCCTAAACGGCAGGGCATGTCCCTGTCTAAGCCCCAGTTGGGCGTTTTCTTCACTTTTTCTCTTTACGTTCGACCACTTTTCACCTACAACTTCCATATAGGTGCTTTTGTCGTATAACTTCGGTAGCATACCCTGGCACTTAATATCGGATACCTGAGCTGGGACAGTGCTGATCATATTAAAGGTAGCAGTTGGAATGGTCTCGTACGCGGCAGATGAGTTTCGCGATGATCCGAGATGCTCAGAGCTCTTTTTACCTCATTCATATGGTGCAGAATATGAGGGGTACTCGTCAGGCTGTGGAAGGGGACTAGTTTTCTTCGCGCGCTTTTACAAGAGTTTTATTTTAGTGATGAAGCAAACGCCGGCGCTTAAGTCTGTGTCTTACTGCGTAGCCATGTATCCGATTGTGCAGCTTCATTATCAATCTAGTTGGACACGCATCACGGTTCTCGTGGCCATTATTCCGTGGGTATGTGGCGTCTGCGCGTCTCACATACAAGTGTTCTCTCGCTCTTTCCTTCCTATACAGGTGTCCACGCCATACATCACACCAGCCCAATCACAGAGGAGATGTCATATTTGCTATTGCTTGCTCTTGTTTTTGTCTTCCCATCACGTTCTCGAGCACTACTTATCTAGGCGCATTTAACAAAATAATCGTTCCCGACCCATGACTCCAAGTTTCAGTTCTGTCGTTGCCTTTTTTAATAGGTTCAGGTTATTATGGGTCTGGAGGTTCGTTCCGATGTACATCCTGGGGCGGCTTTGGGGTAGAGGTGAGCGCGGTTTTCTCATCTCTTCACTTGTAGACCGAATCCAGTTATATCAATGTGCCAGAGAGCGTAAGGAAAAAAGGCCTAACTGCTCACCTCATGTGACAACGAATCCCCCGGAGGCTGAATCCTCGATATCCACACAGACGGCAAACGTACGCTTGTACGTCATTGTGCATTGTTCGCACGTGCACGGACAACTGTGACAGTGAGCCAGGTTCGAACTCACAGTGGTTACATCGAGTTTTTACCTGAAACTACAAAAATTCCATGAACCTCAGAATTGTAGCGCTGCGCGATGCCCACCGACCTGTGAACCCATCAAAACATGGAACCCGAGGCTCCCTTATTTTCAGCATATGGTCTTGATCGTTTTCCTGGATTGACGATCGCTTAGCCTATTCACTTTTCCTCGAACAAACATTCGGAGTGCAGAAAAATGACGTCGGTTTCCCAATTACTAATAAGACGCGACCCATGGTGTTGAATGAGGTCTAAGTCTTTCTTTAAGAGCTGGCGTGACACTTCTCTTCGGTTGTTTAGTCCCTAACGCCAGAAACAAAGACAGTTTTATCACTTTTCTTATCAACTCGGACCTGATTATTTTTGTTATACGCGGCTGACTGTGAAGCTCAAATGTCATTCAAAACTGCCGTAATTAGTGTTACATTAACAGAGGATGCCTTGTGAATTTCGGAAGAGTTATCAACAGTCAAATAAACAGCCCGATTGCGCGAACATCCCACCTCACACTTAAAATGAATGGATTTTCTCCTATTCCAGACCTCAGACTATTTCCTTAAAGGCTTAGAGAAGTACACATTGTTTGACTAAAAAGTGAAGACGTTTTTAGCCGTGTACTTACCTTTTTTGGTGGCTCCTTGCTGCTGTCATCTTCTCGTTCGACCAGTTTGCAGTAGTACTGACGATGTGCTTTCAGTGTTTCATCGGCCGAAAATTGAAACTGCCACAGTTGCACATAGGGAACGGTTCTCCAGTCCGAGTGAGAAGCCTGTAATTTTTGCGACTTTTTCAGAGAAGACCAGAGGGACACCTACAGGAAGCCCAAATAAAATCGTGAATCGGCCTACACTTTGGCGAATTCTACATGAAGATTTCTGCCAATCTATGCGCTGCTTTCAAACTCTATGAGCTCTTAACTAGAACTTTTGATGGTGAATGGTTTTAGAAACATATAGTACAGCATGTGATTGAAATGAAAGTCATTGCACGTGTGACTGATATCGCTACATAGCGTACAACATGATTGCATGGACTGAAAGCTATTCCCTTAGAACGGAATCAAACGGCATTCTCGGGGTACAAAGTTAGCTGCAGCAGCTGCAGTGACCCCGTCTGCAGCGGGCTGTTGTCTGGAACCATTCCGTCTTTGCAGTTCCCTCTCCTCAAACACTTCTCTTCTGGGACCGCGCTAAATTTCATAAGTGCTCAGAACAGCGTACGAGCTTACTGAAGCGTTGGTCGAATAGATTTTTTCTCTTTTTTCTTCATTGCCTGCACATTACTCGCCAATACTGTCGCATTCGTGTTTGAAAACTACAATATTTTGATCCACTGGCATGCTTGAATGTACAAAAAGCATTGAGTGTTGATCGAACATTGCAATACTGTTAGGTTCACTTTTCTGTTTTTCTGATTCCAGGACACTTCAGCAGGGTGAATAACGGTCGAGGAAATCCTCGACCATAGCTCTCTACCATGCGAGAGTAGTGCCGAGAGTGAACATCCGCGCGGAGAGCACAGACGGCACGGCATGGCGAGTGTGAATGTCCGCGCGAGAGATCGTCTCTGATCGGGCAGAGAATCCTCGACGTGCCGTTGAGGAATCCTCAAGCGATATTCACCCTGTTGGCACAGCCCAACCAATGTGCTCTCTCAAGACGAAAGACAGCTACTAGGGATCGAACTTGCAACATTGAACACCCCAAGTTACCACTCATGTTCACTGTTGCGCTCCTGCGATGTCTGCTGTCTCGCACCCCACTGCGCTCTTTCTCTCAGCTTTCACTCTCTCTCTCCAGCACGGTATTAGACTCTGCGTCCGGTGCCTAGATTCTTCGGATTTGCATGCTAGAGGCGTTGCTAGTTACTTTTTTCTAACAACCTATCAGTTAGTGCCCAGTGTATTCAGTAGGTAGAACCCCATTAGAACGTGCACTTTGAGGGTTAGAGGACAAAAATCACTCAAATTTATGTAGCGAGTATCAGCGGCTGTTTGGATCCAGGACTCGTGCATGGTCATGCATAGCATTCAATTTGACAAGCGATCACATAGTGAAGGTGATACGAGTCACGCCACTGACATCCAGCAGTGTTACATACGTTGCTAGAGCGCTATGTTTCAGATAGTAGGAGGCTACGTGCCAGCGAGCAGTTTTCAGGCAGAGACGAAAAGGTGTGTCCGGATGTGTTTGTTCACCACAACCCTGTCCTACCCACAGAGTAGATCCTTCCGACACGACCTCATTTGTGGCTGCTGCTTCTAAGAGTGACTACTGATTGAAGCCTAAAGCGTGAGTGACTCACCCTAGGAATATTTGTCGGTGTTGTCGAACCAGAACTGCCTGACTCAGGTTCTCTTCGCCGTTTTGAAAGATCGAGTGGTGTTGACGTTGGCCGCTCCATGGTGCGTTTAAGCCCTCCGGCCAAACCGCTGAAAAAACCGCCAATTCTATCAGTGGCCGAAAAAATTGTGGGATAATCGTGCCTGTTTCCTAACCTCATTTCTACGGGCACGATTGGAATGGTGACGGCAAGATCGCCGACAGCAAATTGGAGCCTTGTCGGGGTACGCACGACACCGCACAGACTGCGATGAACCATTAGCGGCTCGGTGAGTGGAACGGCGAGCTGAGGAACACCATTCTGTGCAACCGCAGGACGTCCTATCGCCACCGGCACTATGGTCTGTGGAGGACCGAGCAGCTGCAATATAAGACCGTAATTATACAAGAAAATCCGCCGCCTCTCGGCCCGCAGAAGTAAGTGATAAGAGAGCTTCCTCAGTGAACTTATGCATGACTTTGATGAGAAAACTCGCACTTACCTGAACCATTTCATGTTGATGTTCATGATAGGCGATAGGCACCAAAATCACATTTTGAGGAGGAGCAACGGCCGCCGTTCCGTGGCGAATACTGGGCACAAGCGTTGGCGGAGCAGCGACCACCACTGCAAAACACAACCCTCGATGGAGAATGGTCAGATTTGGCAACGCTCTGTACTAAACTTCTAGTATCACGTTTCCGTCAGGTAAATGGGTGAAAATGGAATCAGAGGGGCCGTCATTTCTGCTCTGCGGTCCATAAGGATCAAGGTAAGGCTAAGGATATCTCCAGCGGTAAGCTCAAGAGCTGTGACAATACGCTCATTTAGAGTAACTTATTGATAAGATCCAATAAAAACGCTTCGTCATCGACAACTATTACAATTTTCGCACATTTTCAACCCGGTTCTTGGCACAGGTTCGCTTCTCCGCCCCATTCAAGGCCGGTCCTTCAGATGGAAGTGTTATCATCGCTGTTCCGCCCTTGATCCTTACCTTGATCCTTGTCGTAGGGGCCACAGAGCAATGTGGAGTAGGCCCCTCCAACTCCATTTCCGCTATGAAATGCATGAAGCTGGGCTGTGAGAAAAGCAGCGAGGAATGGCGTACAGTTGTAGAAGGCAGTCGGGGCGTGAACTCTATAAGAAGCGTATCTGACTCTGGGTAAGGGAAGGAGGCGACGGACTGAAGGCTCTCGCTCCTAGGAGGACCATGCATCGCCTTCTATTAGGTTGTCCCATAATTAGTGAATCACTTTGGGTATTTTTGAATTCAAATTTTTTTCTTTTTTATGTGGAGTCTTTGCTCATCCAAACATACATCTCTGTCATCTACAATGTATTGCCTAAACAAGGAAATTTAGTTGCTGTCTTATCTCTAGAATTCCAGGAGCTATTGATCGAAGAAAGGGGTGGGATGGCGGGATCGGAAGTCGAGTTTGAGGTCATGTCACTTAGCGTAAAGTTTCTTCCTGGAGAAGAGCGCTAGAGGTCAGACTGAGTTGTATTTTGTTGTTGACACGAGGATAGGGCCACATATAGGAGGTGAAAGAAGTGCTAGCCCGGAAGTCTCCAATTTTTTATGAATATTCTCCGCAAGGTGGGGTCGGACGACCTCAGGAAAAAGCAGACTTTGTCTTGCTTTACTTTCATAATTGAACGCGTCGCCATTGCGCTATAGATGCTGATCTTCTTCGTGACTCTAGTATTAGTGGGCGGCGGTTCCCAGCGTAAGGTCACTCTCGTGCTCATACAATATCTCGGAAGGGTCGGACTCAAAGGGGGTTCGGCTTTTGCTGTCAGAACTCCCGAACCCTTCATGCTAAGCTGCTGCTTGTTGGAGATTTGCTAGTACACTCCACCCAGTCCAGAACCCTGATGCATATGCCGGATGATCACTGTAAGGAACTAAGGGAGATCAGAAGGAACATGATGATGTCAGATCGTGTGTGGAGCTGTTTCGGGCTCACAGCATACAAGATACAAACTAAATATTTTAAAATCTTTACAACTCTACGTAGATGTCTACATTCCATCAGTTTAATAAGCCGGACATGCTCCAGCAAATGGCGACAAGTTTGTCCAGATCCACCCTCAGTGGCGCTGGGTACAGCAGTGAGATTGCCACTTGAGGGGTAGTTGGAGTGTGGGTCTCTATGTTGTTGGGCGTTTGAAAGATCCTAATCAGAAGTGATTAAGAAGGGAGCTCAAAAATAGGTTCCAGAAAAATTGAAGTATCAGCCACGGAAGGCAGCATGTAAATGGGCTGAGTAATTGCTCAGGTAGGATAATGTGGATGCTACTTCGCAAAACATGTTTCACGCCTTCACCATTTTCTTGGATTTTTAATAACAATAAATGTAAAGTGATTCACTAATTATGGGACAACCTAATAGAAGGCGAGCATTCCCTGGAAGACGCTTCCTGGTAAGCATATTTTGAGGCTCAGATAGACGCTCCTCTTGCCAATTTTCACCACGTTTATCAAGGTAGTTTTTGAATGCTTAGATGACTAAGGGCTCAGTCCTCTATAATATTTACCACTACACGTCTGACGCTCTATGGTTGAGGGGGATTGAAGTTAGCGAGTCACTTATAGCATTTCGGCTAAGCTTTGGAGGGGAAAGCGATCCTAGGAAAGACGTGAGCAATCTTTTTTATTCTGGTGGGATTTCTCTCTCTCTTGGGCTGAGTCGTAGTGGCTGCTACGATCGTCTGTGAAGGATTTATTTTGGACGTCCTCCCTAAGGGAAGTGAGCGCCCACATTGTTTAAAGACAAAGGGAGAATATACATCCGCGATCCCATTGCCTGCTTTTACTGTTGATAATCAAGTGAGAATAAATTTAAAAGCCGCACATAATTCCGACCATTACAGTTTCAAAGCCCTTTCAAAGGAATTTGAGGGCATCGGATCAGCTTGACACCCTCTGAGTCGAATAGAGTTGTTCGCAAGCTCTCAATAATCACGACACTATTGCAAAACCCCGTGAATAATGTCTCTCGTAAGTGTCGACCATCGGTAAGTCCCCCCTCACAGCATCTCGACAGCGGCAGTCATTCAAGTATTCGAGCTGTGCGGAGCCGACACGGACGGCACTTGGAGATGGCAGATAAGCACGAGATGAAGCCGATAGATATGAGCACAAGGCGCTGATACCTTTACTTTGTCCATTCCCTCTCACTCTTCTTGCAGCAACACTTTCCTTTAGAAAAAACGCAGTCAGAAAGGGGCTCGAGAAGTTTACAGCACAACACCCAGGACGCTTTACTAGACTTTTTCCAGGTGATTTCCTTCAGATGCAAGCCTGTGAACATTCGAATGGCAAGGCCTGTCGCTCCCCTTTAAACCTCACCACGAGAGAGTGCCTCTGCGCTTCACTTTAAGGGGAGGGAGTCTTCAGGTATGGAGCGTTTTTTTAAATGGCTTTCTGAATGTTGTAGAGGCTCATGTGAAGAACACAGAACCATGGTCCATTTTTCCTGAACGCCCCAGGTATGTCAAAACAAGAAAATGGTCAAAGTTCGATCCTCCGTGATGACAAATTTTTGCAATTTATGTTGGCGCCTCCAAATTGCCGCAAACACGACAATGACATCTATTCTCGACGATGGCGCCATTTGGCGGCAATCTGGGGCGCCAAACTATATTGCAAAAATTAGTCATCACCGGGGATCGAACTCTGGACCATTTCTTCACCACTGTTTTGACATTCCTGGAGGCGTTCAGGAAAAATGGATCATGGTTCTGTGTTTCCTCGCATGAGTCCTCTACAATATGCAGAAAACGTTTCGAAAAAACCCCTTTTTGTCCTAAAAGACCTCCTTGTTAGGCGTCACTTTCAAAACACTCTGCAGTAGTATAAGTTCTTCAACATTAGTTTCCCAACTCACCTCGAGGATTTCCTTTACAGTAGAATTTTTGGTGAGCATTCAGATTGTCAATGTTGTTGAACTTTGGCGATGTGGCATTTTGGACAAGGATATCCTGAAATCGAAACTGGTTTCAAAATTCTGAGCTTCTCTTCAATAATCATAACTATTCCTGAGTACCACTGAGCACTTATGTTATGTTAGCCGAGTAGGATCAATGGACCATGGATTGGTCTACTAAGCACATGACCAAGTTGGGGAATACTTGACGAGGGGGTCGTAATCTTCATCAGTTCACTCCCGCATTCATAGATGTTTGATACTAACGCTCAAACCGTACCCTCTTCAACGTTTGAAATGCAAAACGTCTACGACCACGGCAGGATTCGAACCTGCAATCTTCTGCTCCGTAGGCAGACGCGTTATCCATTGCGCCACGCGGCCACGAGAGCGTACGTGGCTCCAGCCATACATGTTTGCGATTTAGACGATTGTCGGACCTGATAGGAGACCATGGACATAGCACATGTCACGAAGACCTAGACACACTTCCGTAGCCCGGCGTTCCTCTTGCAACTGCGTGCTTCACGGACCCCCCCCTTTTGCATCTCCTCGACAACTTTCTCTGCCTTTTTCGCCTGGCGCATCCATTGAACACATTAATTTTCCTTATGAGCCCCTCAGAACCTATCGTAATCGCTGCGTTTAAGTTGTAAGTCTTAAGCCTTCGAAAACGACTTGGCGGTGAAAACGTTGGCTTCAGTAAATTACACTAGCGGCCAGAAACTAATTGACAAGCAGGTTTGTGAGGATTGATTCTGAAAATAAGTGAATCGCCTCTAAATTTGCCTGCTATTTACTTAGCATCCTTGAAGTCTAGAAGGAGAATATCATCTATCAAAAGTGCTGCGCTTTCACCTTAAGATCTGGAAACCAGTTCGTTTAGCATACATTATACGAAGTGCACAAGACAAGAAGTAAGCAAACCAGCCCTTTTGGCGTTTCTGCTGGGGCCGTATGCTGAATGTTGGGGAGGGATGGGGTCCCCGACGGTCGACGGACTACTTCAACTCGGTCCTTGAAACCGCCTCAATTTGATGCTTACCTCAGGACTAAGCCTAAGAAGAGAGGTGCGAGAGAGTGTGGGTCCCTCCTCTCTCCAAGGCTCAGTCCTGGGGTAAGCAAACCAGCCCTTTGAGCAGAGCTGCTGGAGGCTGCACCAACTTGCGTCGTCACTCTACTCCGTACCGATCGAGTTCAAGTAGTCCGTCGACCTCGAGGACGGCTACCTCTCACAAACATTGACAGGCATATGCCCGCAGAACACCCAAAGGCCAGTTTGTTTTACCTCCAATCAAGCAATCGAGGGCGATGTTGTAATTCCTCTGAGCATTTTGCATCCAGAATTTGCGCCCTGGACCATTGACGTTTCGACTGGCCGAGGACTTATTTCATCCCCCTTCGATCCTGTCTATTGATATCGAAGGTTGTGCAAGCAGGGTTACAATATCTTTATTCTCCACCAGATTTTCTCTTGAGCTTTACAATCCCGTCCTGGTATTCATCAAACAGATTCGAGGGCTCTCTTGCAAATGCGAAAAACGATGACTAATTTCCGGTACCAAAAATATGTGCACGACTAGTGTGCGCGAGATAAGAAAATGATGCTGAAAGGAGTCGACCTACGTTCACGAGGCAGCTGAGAGTGCCATGTTCAAAAACACACGGCTATCGAGCCACAAAGTAATGTTGTTCATACGCCATGCTTACTCTGATGCTGTGAGCAGAAACATCCACAAGGGAGTAGGCAACTGCCGGCCTTTCACAGCTGCCCCAACAAATCAAATTGGTTGATTTTTGGCGCAAGAATTGGAAGTACTGGGTAATGGCTGCAGTAGCAAGAAGGATTTTTCAAAAGTGCTAATTCAGGGATTTGCTGACGTTCGTAGTGCGACTGTGCTAAGGCAATGGGAGACTGAGCGCAAAGAGGAGAGTATAAGCAAGGCCCCACAAAGCGCACCAGACAACAGTATGCTGCGCGGGAATATGAAGTTGTGCTGCCTTTTGTAAGGCCGCTAGCTTACCTTTCGGGTTCCACGCACGCGGAGTCCGTGTCCGATGTTCTCTAGCTGTCTCCTTCCGAAGGAAATCGTTCACCAGACTTGCTGTGTTGGTCGTTGAAGGCTAAGTTCGGGCTCAGATCCACTTAACAAGCCTTGTTAGAAGTGCTGGTACGCAAGTGCAAAGGTAGCGCCACCTTTCTACATCGAAACGCGTCACTAGGACCCTAGGCGCCATGGACTTCTAACAGACTCCACCAAACTTAACATGGTCCGCCCACCGTTCGATATCTTGTCTGCGTCGCTGCGTTGATCTGCTATGCTCTCTCTTCTCGGACTTCTCTACCGCTCTCCGCGCTCACATTATCTCTCATCTCCCTGCCGGCCTTTTGAACTTCTCCGCAGCGTAGAGCAAAAGGCTCGTATTTCCTGTGTATTTCACGATTTTTTTCCTTTTTTCTCCACTGGCGGTCCACCTCCCACCCCTACTTTCACATTTGAGTGGAATTACCTCATCAGTTTAGTCCTGAGTATTGCCTTTAAGTATCGTCGCTGACAGTTGGATGCTCAAAGTCTCATCATTGAAACATACTGAGGTTGGTAACTCAACCAGAAAGGCGAGGAAAAACAGACGTCTCCACAGTATTGTACAGCTGTTATCGAGGCGTTATAAGATACCAAACTTCTCCAGACACTAAATAAATAAGCACTAACTTTTCTCAGAGTCCTCGGAAGCTGTCGAGGGTTGCTGCTGTGGGAGAAAGATCGCCACAAGATCGTCACCGTAATGGACGTCTCGAGTTATCAGTATTTGAATCAGAGACTCTGAAAAAACTAATGAATATAACTGATCACCATCACCATAAAAAGTGCCTATGAAGGGATAACCGCGTATCCCCTCCTATCAATTTTTTCTTGCACTCCACGCGCTCGGTTTTTTCTAGAAGCCATTGGTGCTATGGAATTTCAAAATTCAAGCTCCCACCCCATTGGGGTAGCTACAGTGAGGCGATAAATGAAAGATGACATCCGGCATTAGCCAATCTCTTATTGAATACGCCAGGCATTTTACCTTCATTCAAAATCGTAGTGGGAATTTAAATACGACTTGGCCCATACAATGTCATGCAGGAGTCTGAATTTAGAATAGCCGGAGTGGGAGACGTTCAGTTCTCTTCCTGGGTCACGTCACCAAACTGCGCGATTATTGAAACTTAAGGTTAAGCTTGGGTTCAGGTTGGGCTTAGGCCTATACTTACCCAATAGCTTATGCCTAATCCTATTATTGGGCCCAGGCTAGCCCTAGGCTTGCTGCGAACAAAGTGGTGTCCAAATTTTAGGTGACTAACCTGACGAGGAGAACTGCAACGACCCAAAATGCGCGCCATGGACCATGATGCGTGATAAACAGCGCCACTTGCCACTTCTGCCTAAACCTGCGTGATTCGCGTACGAATTTGGAATAAATAGATCTTACGAAACATTCTGGGTGAAACCACGCAACTGTAGGGCACTGCATAGGCAGTGCATTCTAGATCACCGCAACCAAGCACCCCCTTTGTTGAAATGGACTGAGCTTTGAGGAAGTATGAGAGGCCGTGAGTGTATTGAGAGCGACTTAAAGGGCAAGTTCAGGATTTAATTGATGAGAGAAATTCTACTCCAATGGGGTGAAGTAGGGTGGTGAATGGACTTGCTATACGCGGGAGAAGTCAAAAGGCCGGCAGGGAGGTGAGAGATAATGTGAGCGCGGAGAGCGCTAGAGAAGTACGAGTAGAGAGAGCATAGCAGATCAAGTCAGCGACGCAGACAAGATATCGAGCGGTGGGCGGAGCGTGTCGCAGCAGGTGGAGCGTGTCAAAGTTCCTTAACGTCTAGCGTCTTAGTGACGCGTTTCGATGCAGGAACGTGCGCGCCTTCTGCCAGTTGCGTCCACAACGCATTTCTATGCTACTATATAAGGGTTATGTAAGTGGATTCTAAGCCAGACTTTGCCTTTTAAATACTTTCTGCAGTTTTTGCTCCTACTAGCTTATCTTAGTGAATTTTCAAAGTTGCCAAGAAACCTCTAATAATGCCTTGAAGACACTCATAGAACAGCTCATAGTGCGTCAGGTCATAAAGGTTATACTCCCTTACCTTTAGCATGCAGACAGCTTCATCTCTCTAGGGGTCTACTAAAGCGCACAATAGCTAATACCACGAATTCTTCCGCTTACAATGAGGCGGAAGTGGTGTAGTGGCAAGTGGCACGCTCACCACGCGAGCGGTCCGGGGATCAAATCCTGGGTCGTGAGTCGCCCGGGCCAACCAAGCCTTCCATCCCTCCGGGGTCGGTTAATTGGTACCAGACTTGTCTGGGAGGATAAAAACACTGACTTGAACATCC